TCCCAGGAAAAATGAAAAAACAGTAAATAAAGCTGTCTGCTTGTTTTGGCTCAGGTGGCTAGAGTTTGAAACTAGGTTGTGTGAATTAGCATAATTTGATTTCCATCACTGTCTTTTATAAGCCGTAAAGTTCATGCTGTATCTCATATGACTTACGATCTTTATAACCTTCATTTTTGATCTCTTTTTAAACTGTGATATATCCATGCTATTTTTAGTTTTGCAGACTATTTTTGGATAATATCTACAGGATATGGTCTTTTATTTAGCTAGTCTCACAACCAAAACTGTGCCAGACTCTCCTTCTCTTATACCTTGATTGCTGCAACATCTTTTCTCTGGCTGTGAGATACATACACATTTACCTTGTGTCTGCATACATATTCACAGGGCTGCTGCAAAACTTGTTATCTTTGCTTGCTCTTTTGTCACCCCTTTCCACTGATCTCCTTGTCTCAGTAGGAGAAGTACTCAACCCAATTTATGCAAGTCCATGCTGATGGTATTACTCTCTACATGCAGTTGGACTTCTTTACATACACACACAGGGGTGGGGTGACTTTGCTGCACCCCAGGTTGCAGCAGGAAGGAGTGCACCCCTCGGGTCTCACTGCAAATGAGCTGCAGGCCATTGAACAGCCAGTGGCTGTTTGTTTCCAGCACTACCTTTCCTGGTGTCCCAAGGCCCTGTTGATGTCTCACCAAGGATATGCACCACCCCTATGATGGGCAGGAAAGTGAGGAGCCCTGGGGAAAGGCAGCTGCAGGGTGTCAGAATAGATTTATTGCCACCCTCAGAGCAAATTCCTCCTATCAGAAGCCTGATTGCTGTGATCTCCAAGTTGCCTCAAGAAACAGGTTTTCAAGGGGAGCCTCTAGGACAAAGAACCTGATTTTCATTAGTATAATCCCTGATGGGCCACTCAAGTAATCTGCAAATTCAGGTACCCCAAAGCCACTTCTTCCCTGGTAGATCCTACAGAGACTCTTCCTCCTTCATCAGCTCTCCTGCTGCTGAGATGTGTGAGTTGTCTCTGGGGCTTATTTTAAGGAACAGTATGGTACTGATCTGCAGTTTTTCTGAGGTGTATGCCATATATGTGGAAATACTGTAAAGCTGCTCTCAACAAGCATAGATTGAGTTTCCCCTAATTTTAAACCATCAAACACAGCTGCTTGTCTTTTCTTTCAAAGCCTTTCAAGCCTATCCCCGTTCTTTCCATGACAAAATACAAGGTGAAATCCCACCTTCAAGGAGATGCCCCATATTGCCCCATACTCAGATTTTATCCCTGAAACTTTGTGCTCTCTATAATGCTGCCTTTCACTTTCGGGAGATGCACCAGGGAACATCTGCTTCCCGAAAGCTCCTTAGACTGTCTGCAGCCATCTGGCAATGGCAAGGCTGCGGGTGTCCAGCTGCCCCTTGGGCTGGCCAGGCAGTGATACTGCAGTGATACTGCATTTCTAAATGGGGATGACATTAAGTGGTATTTGCGTGCTGCTCAATTTCTCTGCATGCTGCAAACAAGATTAACTGAGATTTTAGAAAGGAAAATAGACATATATAGGCTATGAGTTCATGCAGATGTTTATACAGATTGCTTAGGAAATGAGGATCCCAACCCTCATAAAAATAACAAAAGAAAATATTCTAGATTATTTTGGTGAATTCTGGCCTCTTATTGTCACACAGCATTTGCCTTGAAGCTATTCCAGGGCATCAATCTATTTTGTCTTAAGACAAAATTTCTTTTTTCCCCAACCATATTCTAATATTTTTATTATACAAAATGAAAGGGTTTAGACATTTGTGCTAGAAAAGGGTACTGTTATAACAATGCAGAAGTAATCATCTGCACCTATTGTGCAGACAGCATAAAGACATTTTATAATAAAACAGCAATTCCAAATAAAAACAGGAAGAAATTTAGCAGTGTAAGCCACTTCTCTATCATCCAAAGTAGGGATTTTGCCAGTACAAATGAGTTTGCTTACAAAACATCACTGCTCTTACTGCAATTATTATACTAGGAAAACTAGTAGATCCAGACTGCCTACAAAACCATGACTGCAGCAGCCACCAATATCCTGAGGACTTACTACACCAAAGTCAGTCCAGTTGTAACTCTTGAATTCATTGAAAGTTATTCCAAGAATGACTTTGTCCCAGTGGACTGGATTTCCTTTCATAACAGGGTGTAAAATCACATATTCCAGGAAATATGTAAAAAGTAAAATATTTTTTATGGTTGGGGGAGGGACTATGCAGTGACAATGAATCGTTTCTGTATTGCTACAGGAATTCTGCCCCTCCAGTAAGTATACAACCTCCCACCAGGGTGCTGTCCTCCTTATGAGGCTTATGAGATCTTTACAGCTCCAGGTGGCCTCTTTTTCCCTCCTAGATAGTGCAACTAGGCCTCACAGCCAACACAACAGTTAACCAGAACTTTTTTTAGCCTGATAAATATATCTGAGTGAAGGCATTGTGTGGCATGTGTGAATCCACGTGGGGCCAAGGTGTGAGCTGGGCAGCAATGCAGCCCAGGGCTGAGGCAACCGTGTGCTGGGCAGGAGGAGCTCACTCCCTCCCAGCACATAAGTAGTGGAAGCTTACAGCATGTAGGGCACAGCTGTGTAAATCCCTCTGAGCTACATGACTTCCCAGTCCCATGGTTTGGTTTCCATTCAGGGCTCAGGTGGCCTCTTAAGGGGGCATGCCAGGTTACCTGTGAATGGATGGCTTGGGGACATCCTGGGCACCCAGCCCCACACTCAGCCTGGGGTCTTCTCCCTTTGTGAGGCTTATCTGGGCTCTCCTATCTGCTCTCCTATGTTCTCGCTTTTCTAAGCCTGACAGAGAAATAAAAGTACCATTTTCCCTCCATCAGAAGAAACAAAGCTGTTTCTGGGTATTGAGGCAGCAAGACACAGAATGCTAATGTTAGTCAAGTTTGGAGGTCACCATTGGCAAACTAAGCAGCTGGAATGGTGGTGGCTTTGCTAGGTATTTTAGCTACAGCAGTCCTTGGGAAGTTGGAATGGGAGGGTACAAACTACTGCCTTGCTTCCACCTCTGCTATGTTCCACTCCTGCGATGGTTTTAAGACAGCATACCCAACTCTTAGGACAGCATGCCCAACTCTCCATGATATTCTGCCAGCTCCCTGTAACAGTTTGACCATTTCCATGTCCTCTTAAGTGTAAACCAGCCCCACTTCTGGTCTTTTTTCCTTCATGTGGCAAAAGTCAGCTTTGCCAGTTTGGCTGGGGAGAAATGTCTTTGGCTGATCAGACCCAACCAGGTGCCCTAAAGTGCAACATTCCCTGGGTCCATTCTAACAAGTACCACACAAGGGATTGGCATGTTTTGGTACCTTCACTTATGATTAACATTGACCCGTTTTACTTTATATTGCAGCGGCCTAGGAAAGTGCCTACAGTCCGCGACTGGCCTCATCTTAGAGAGCAGTAAAAAATTAAAACTCATTTAATTCAGGCCCTTGCACTTGTCAGTCAGAAGTTTCGCTTGCAGCCGAGTGATGCTCAGACACCATAGGCAATATGGCCAACCTATGCAAGTTCACATGGTTCTAGCTTTGACTCTCATTGCTGTTTCATCCTAGGTTTGCAATGCTGCTCCATTCCCAGGGTGCATGTAGCTCCACAGGATCAATGGCAAGGAGAGCCTGTTTCACAGGCTGGCTTCTGGCAGATGTTTCACATGTGGTCAGTTCAGACCATTACTTGGCACTGAATGTGACTCGGAGTGTGTCCCTCGCTGCACTGGGCAGTGCCTAGGCACGTACATCTGGGCAAAACAGGTGCAAACCACTGCCATTCCTATGAGGAAATGACACTGCTAAAGCACCAGGGGCTGTGTCACTTGAGGTGTTCTAACTCCATGAAGAATCATGCCTTGGGCTTCTTTTCACTCACCTGCTTGGGTGAAGGGGAGTTTTAATGTGTAAGGTTAAAAACTTCAGTGGTTTAGGAGTTGCTTCATATGCAGCTCAGCTGTCACAGCTCAGCAGCAGCTGCCTCCAGGGGAAGTGGAGAATGGAAAGTGAAGCACAGACACCCTAGAGCTGTAGGACTCTACCTGTGTGGCTTTGCTTTTGCCTGCTTTTGTAGAACAGTGCAAGGTTTATGTATTTCGGTATCTGCCGTGTGCACATATTACTGATTTGTTAAAAGCCTGCTGGTTACTCCCCTTCATCTGTTGCACCCAACGACTGCTTATCCTAATTTGGTGTTTGGAAAAATCTTGTCACCCAAATTACATTAGCAGAATGTGAAAGTAAACAAGAAGGAAACAAGGACAACAGCATATATTCCATGCTGGTAGATTACTTGTTCTTTTCCCGTGGAACAACTGTGGATGTTTTTCTTATTTAAAAAAAAAAAAAAAAGGAAAGAAAGAAAAAACCCCAACCAACCCCCAAACCTCTGGATAACTACCAGCTTCAGCTACACCAGCCATACCCAGCTGTATGCACGTAGCTGAGTGATGCCCTTCCAGAGCAGGGCACATTCCAGTGACTTGGCTCTTTGGGATTAACTGTCCCTTTCATCAAGTTGGCTTGGACTACTGTTGCTGTTGATCATGCAATGCAAATCTTCCTGAGAAAGACTCTCAGGCTATTGATTACAAAAGATAGCCATTTTGACAACCATAACATAAAATACAAACCCTCAGTGTTGCGGGCAGTTGTTGCCATAGATAGGAACTGTGTTATTGATCACAGCCAGATATGAAAATAGGCACCCTTTGCACCACATGACGTTGAATATCTAGTGTAGCAAGATGAAAGTTACCACTTATGCCAACTGGGGGAAAGAGCTCTGCCAGAATGGGGGAGGACATAATTTATCTAATATCCTACCTAACGCTAATGGCTGAGAGCAACAAGCAGGAGAATTACGACACTTCTGCTTGTGAAACATCATGCCTGAGAAGCAGAAGGGTGTGGATTTATCCTCACCTCATTTTAGGTGTCTAAATGAAGCATCTAAGTCAGGAGCACAGTTGTGCCAGGCACTTCTTCAGAAAGAGAAGTGGTTAAGATTTTAGGAGGGATAAATTGCTTTCTACAGGCACCTCCCTCTCTCTCGACCACAGAACACCACACAGAGCTACACTCCTCACCTCCTCACTGGCTGCAGAGAGGGAACTGGGTGGCAGAAACACTGCCTGAAGAGAAGATACTGGTACTTGTTTGGGACTGCTCTTAAGGAAGGGAAGGGGGAAATTCTAAGTGATTGGCTCAGGGTTTCTGTTTGGGGGGACAGCTTCAGCCAGCAGCAGTCAGCATGTACAGCAGATCCTGTTATCTCCTGCTCAGAGCTGTGCTCCGGAAGAAGATTGTGCTGGTATAGTCCCCATGAGGTAAGAACCTTCTGTGATGCCAACCCCTAAGCTGCGCTGATTTACACTAGGATGAAAATATCCCCCCGAGGTTTTACACTAGTGAAAGGTCAGCCTGACTGGGACATCAGGATAAACATATAAAGGAGTGAGTGAAATAGCAACTTTTCTCTCTGTGAGCTGGAGCTCTGTTCTAAAGATAGACTCCTGAACTATTTATTGGGACAATTGTCTGTCCCCTCTGCATAGGAGCAGGTTTACCTCCAAATGCTATCACTGTTAGAATAGGTATTGGACAGTTTTGAGGAGCCTTGGGCTCAGGCCAGGATTGCATTGTGCTAACAGAGAATTTAAAACTCAGCCCTGTCCCATATCCTCTGCCTTCCACAAGCTTCTTCGCAGTGTGTTCCCTATTAATGCTGGTTATGAAAACTGGCCATATTCCCTTCCCAAAACCCATAGGACTCCTGGGTGCCAGCAGATTTTACACTCATGTGAGCTGCACCAGTGGACAAGTTCAGTGCACCTCCTTGATGCCAACATGTGCAAAGGAAAAGGCACCTTTAACCTTCCCAGCAGATGCTGCTTTCCTGGGATGCAGGAGACACCTGCAGGTACCCACTCCTTCCTTTCTGACCACAGAAAACCATTGCCAGCATGAAGGGAGAGCAGAGAGGGTGGCTGCAAGAAGTATTTGGAAAAGTTCCAGTTATTGCAAGTACAACTCTGAAGAAAAAATGCGGGTGGTTCTGTAAACCTGGCATGGCTAGCAATGACAAAGTGACAAAGGGCATTTTCCTGTTGGTCAGCCTCGAGCTTGGGAAGGAGGGCCATGTCAAAGCAGTGGAGGTGAAAGTCTGCATCACTATGAACATATGTAGAAAGCCAGTCCCCAAGAGATGATCAATGGTTTGGGAGGTCTGAGATGTTTCAGATGTATTGGCATAATTGACAGAGCTTACAGTCCTATTGGCTGACCCACACTCTCATCTGCTCCTTCCAAGAAGGAGGCTTTGCAGTTCAAAATGCAAAAGAGCACTTTTATGTTGTGTTATGCACCTGACTGTCCACAGTGGTCAACATACTGTTTTTAAAATAAGAGGGTCCAGAAAAGATAATGTTAAAACTTTCAAAATACACATTTTTCCCCCTAGTGAGAAAGGCAGCAGTGCAGAAAGGTATGGATGTGCAGTCATAACACGGATCATCAATAACAGCTTTGTACCTCCCCTTCCTCCTCTCCCTAGGAGCCTGTGTGCACCTTCCTCACTACTGCACTGGCACATGTGTTTTGGACAGACCTAGTGCTTGCTCAGGTAGGTCCCCACAGACACTTGTGCTGCCACAGCCAAGAGCATGGCATGCTGCAGTGCTGGGGCAGGGGCAGAGAGCAATGAAGGGGCAGGGGTAGAAATACTGCACAGGGGCTCAGCAATGTGCCCGCCAAAGAGCCGGCTTGTTTCCTGTTGCCTTGGTGGAGGAAGCACCTGCGCTGGAGAAATGAGCTGTTTAACTGCTGCCCAAGATTAAAATGAAGAATGCCTCTGCAAAACTGGCAGCTGGAGAAATGGAAGAGGATTTTGTATTTTGCACCACTGTGAGAAAAAGGAGCAACCTTCCTTGGGGGCTGGGAGGCAGAGGTTCAAAGATTTGCCTCCCAGTTTGTGTAACTGGTGAGACACCCGCTTGTGTAAGACCAGAGTTCAGGAACGCCTTCCTGGGACACCACCAGAAGCTGCTGTGAGGACAGGAGCATGGTCAGAGATGGGAATTGATCCCTCAGAGCACTCAGCCTCGCCTGGGTCCTTGCAGGCAGCCATGTGGTAAAGGTTCTTTGGAAACTAAATAGATCTCATACCAAAAAGCAGCAACATTTGCTGCTGTCTTCCTCTGTAGGAAGCCTTTTTGGTCATGCCTCTAGCATGACTAGCATGACTAGGAACTTTCCTTTTAATTTCAGGACTTGGTCTGTTAATGGCCAGTTTACAGTCAAATATTTTTGAGTCAGATTGTCCTTCAAGTTTGTCTTTTTCTGTCCTGTCCCCCCATGGTGTTTATGGCAAGAAATCATAAGCTCTCTCATCCTTTGCTTTGCTGAAGTTTTTCCAATGTCTTACAGGACAGGCTGTTTATTCCCTGTAATTTTCCTGGACATGTCTTCAGAGCACCTGTTCCAGTTTGAGTGCTTTCTGAAAATAGATCTAACTGGAATTGTATACAATATTCCAGATGAAGTTTCTCCGGTGCCTTTTTCACAATGCTACTAGCATTTACACCCTTTCTCTATCTGATTTTTACTACACCATTTGACTCTATCTGTATAATTTAATCTCTGAATGATCTCTGTTATATCTATAACTTTTTGCGTACCTGCAACACCCTCCAGCTGTCCATTGTTGACAGATTTCATCGCATATCAGTCATGTTTCACAACAATCCTGGGGTTTTTTAGTATCTAAACTGTCCGTAAAAATATTGAAAATCCTAAGACTAGTCTCTGTGGAACCCCCTCATGCCAGCATTCTTCCCTTAAGGCAGTTCCTCACTGCTTTACAGTTTGCCTACTAATCTCCATCTTCTCGAGTTTGCCTTTTAATCTCCTAATTTGGGGCAAAGAATCAAATGCTTTACTGAAGTCCAATAGGTGAGATGTACCATGTTTCTTCTGCCAAAGCGACTGAGTTAATCACATCTAAAGAACATAATTGCTTGGTTTGGCATGATGTAGTTTTGAAAGACCCATCTTGCATCTTATCCTGTTTCCCAGCTACTCATTACATACAATTTGTAGTTACTCATTCCTCTAAATTTTTTTCTAAAGCTCTTGATACGCAATTGGCAGATAATCTGGTGAGGACATGTTTCATTGACTTTCTGATAAATCGGATGTGGGATTTTTGTGTAACAGATCTAAATAATACTCTATGCCTACTTGTGCTTTCATCAGCTTTTAACGTGGTCCATTTTTAACTCTTAGCTTATCAGTCAGGTGAATGCTTGCTCCTGAAGGTGTAGGCAGATTCACTGACCTTATTCAGGACTTCCTGTAAAGGCTTTATGTGTTTTCATGTATTTTATGCTTTAGTTCTCAGGTTGTGCACTGTGTGAATGCTTTGTGCCTTCAGGCTCTTGGGAGAATGGGTTGTAAAATTTGTAAAGAGTTGTTTGGCTGACTGTAGAATATAAAATTAGTGTTTGAAAGGGGAGAGCAAAACAGACAGGGTAAATGAAGTGTTTCTCCTTGGAGTCACTCAAGTTTTTTGACAGCTGCAGTGTTGCGGGAGCAACTCAATGTCATGGGAACACAGGAATTTGTTTTCATCAGAGTTGCTTTCCCTGCCAAGCTGGCAGCAGCTATAGGTGAAGCCTTAACAGGGAAACACTTTCATACTGCCTGTGCTAGGAGGGGAGTTCTCCACCAGCGACTAAGTGACAGAATAGTCACCTTCATGTGACTTTCACCTTCTGATCCCTTTCCATCTCCTCCCTGCCCTTGTTGTGTTTTGTTTTGTTTTCTTGTCATTTCATATCTACAGTAATGTAGTAACTTCATAGTGATCTTCTCAAGCTCTCTAAATATCTCTTCTTTATTCTCTACTTACCAAGACACTGGATGGCAGTGAACACATGGAAGCATGAGGATTTGCACATTGCAAGGGCAGAACTCACAAGGTGAGAAAAACAAGTATTGTGTAATGCTCAGATTTCCAGCTTAGCAAAGATAAGGCTTCCTTCAATCCTCAAGCTGTTTCCTACAACCATTCTGAGAATCATCCCCACAGCCTGCTCTGAGTTATGGGATATTCTGGAGGAAGTTAACTTCTGTCTTTGATCCTACATCAAGCCTCTGTCATTTATGAGCCCAGCATCTAGTGAGCTCTCTACCAGTAGGTGATCCACTGTGTTTTGTCCACCATGGGGAGGGGAGGGAGATTCCTTGAGGTTAAGCATGTAACTTAACAATCCTAGTGGGACACAGACCAAGATAAGAGCTAGAGGGGATGCTGATGGTCAGCCCAGTGACAGTGTTTGCACTTATGCAAGTGTTGGAGGGTGTGTTCCCCAGACATGTGAGGAAACAGCAAAGAAAATACCTATTTGCAAGGGTGAAGGGGAGGTCAGTGAGGTGAGCACTGCAATTATTTGCCAGTATGGACCCCCTCCCTGTTCTCTCTGTACAGTTTGATCCAGGCACTAACAAGCGGAAAAGATAGCCATGGCCCTGTGGATTTAGAAATACACTGGAACACTCTCTGCTTTTTAAATTCCATTTCAAAATTACCACAAACAGACTAAAATTTCTCTGCCATGGGTATTTATGGGATGCTCAAAGCACAATAATTCATGTCTTGAAGTGTGCTGTCTACTTGTACTGTCGTACATCTAGTCTAATCCACTTCTCACACTGCCAGGTACATAAGGCAGATGTCTGTCATCACCAACCAGTTTTGTCCCAGACCAGTCCCCGTTAAAGTTGCTGACTTGCGATGTTGCTGCTTTAGTCATTGCTGTGTTTCCTCGTGTTCTTCGCTGTCTCTTCTTTCCTCTTCATGTCGAAATAGGGCTTGTTGAAGGACCTGGTTATCTGGCACTCTCAAAACATGGCCAAGGTCAATGTGTTTTCTCCACTGTACTGTTTGTACAGCTGTGGGTAATCACGCAGGCTCTGAAATCTCAGCATTCCTTTGGCTCTCTGACTGCTTTATGATCACTGTCCCCCCGCAGGCATCCGCACTGAAAGCACTTTGATTTCTGGGGAATAGACATATTCTTCCAAGACTTCAACTTGTACAGGTGTATGTGAAATGTATATTTAATAACAGTGGCTCAAGAGCTTACAGGGAAGCTTACTGTTGATGCTGATGACTTCCATATGGGATGTATACTTGTCATGGAAACAAAGAAATTATTCTACCCGTTTTGATATCATATTCTTAGACCAGTGAGTAGAGACATGCATGTTATGTATAGATAGCCTCAAAAGACCCATGCTACAAGCTTATCCTATGTTGTGCATTACCCTTACATAGCCCATGGTAAATTTAGAAACCATTAACAGAGGCATATAGCATTTAAAAGGAATTCGGATTAATGTTTCGGTTTTTACAGTTTTCTAAACAAGTATCGATTCTCTGGGATTTGTTGGAATAAATAGATTTTTCTGGAGGATAGAAAATAAAACCTTCATGCTGACTTTTTAAAGGTGAGGTTATAAATGCATATCAAACCTTTATTAGTTCACTCTCTGGGGCCTTTGCACTGTCACAGAACTATAAAATGGTCAGTCTGTAATGAGCACAGTTTTACTATGATTTCAGTTTTCCAGGTCAGAGCTGATCATAGAGCACAGCAGTCAGGAAGAGCAGGGCCTGAATTTTGAAAACATTTGATCCAGTAACAGACTATGTCCAAGTCACAGCATGGGAAGTTTCATTGAGGAAGTTTTCAGTCCTCAGCATCTTCAAGGTCGTCACCCATGACCCAAAATTACATTATTAGATTAATACTCTTGATGAAGTCATGTCCAGCTCATTTTGAATGGACAAAGGTCTGTAACACTACTGTACTTCATCTTCTTGTCTTCAATTTTTTGTTTTCTTGCAGCTCTGTATAGGGGCTGCATTAAAACCCTCCCGTGAGACCCAGAATAAAAATTCTGGTTTCTGTGCCTGGAGCAACAAAGATTTAACTTTCTGCAGTGTATCAGAAGACTCATAAACCCCCTGAAGCACAGGGGCAGCAGCCTGTTAGTGCAATGACAAGACCTTGTTTCTAGAGCACCCAGGTACACAAAGGCAGAACTAACTCTGTAATAGCATTTAAACAACAAGGTGAAACCTGTCAGTACTGGTCATTGTGACCCTGTGGAGCAGAAGAAACTTGGATGAAAACAGCCCCTAGATGTGGGAAGGTATAAAGCTATGTAGGAAGGTAGGTGGAAGACCACCAACACAATTTGAAGCAAAGGATTCTTCAGTACAAATCTGCAACTGGTATCTCCTGCTCTTGACCCCTCATAATATGGTTAGCTTAACCAATGCCAATTCAAAAGGCAAATGGCCATTCTCTGTGACCAAGTTGGTCATGTATCAGTCCCCTTTCCCTTCCTTCTCAGGCCTAGAAGGCCTCGTGCACCAGATAGAACCCTTCTCCCCATCCGTATAGGCCTCAAGGTTCCTGGGTGCCGGGCTGACTTCTCCCCTCCTTACCAGCCTTGAAGGTCTCAGGCACCCAGCCAGCCAGGTTGTGATAACACCACCACAGGACAGGCAAGTGTAGCAGAACACAGACCACGGTCTATAAAATCAAGAAGTTACAACATCTAAGTGGGACTTGGACCGCAACTGCTGCTGGAAAGCGAAACCCATGATCTCCCAGTGGCCAGGGACACCTCTACTATCATCTGCTTCCTCCAACATTTGAGTGACTCATATTCTTATATATGTTTTTAATCTTTATTATGATTGTCATGGATACTGCAAGCGAAGTTTTAAGACTGACCCATTCTGCAGAGGGTCCAGGTGATTAGGAATGATGCCTCAGAGCTTTTTGGTTTTTTTTTTAACTTTTGTAGATTTTAGAAGTAAATGTGTAGTGAATGTAGTGAATATAGATTTTAATGTAGCTGTATTATATCCCTTACCCTGTAGCATAGTGTTTACACATACCCAACCTTACAATCCCATCTCATATCACTCCCTCTAAATTTCGTTAGCGTGTTTAGTCTTCTTTCAAGGTAGAATTGTAGAAAAACACCCTAAGGCCTGGACCAGAAGATATCACAGAGACACAGCAACCTTCAAGCCCAGAACTCTGGAGGAACTCCAAGGACTGTACGTGCTTTGAAGAAGATGAAGATGAGAAAGAAGGGGTCCCAAACGCCCCCAGTCCCAATTCCCAAAGGGGCATGTCAGGGGGCAGAATGGGGCAGAACCAGGGGTGGACAGATCTGGAATTGGATGGACCTTATTATAATACCATAGAGCCACTGTCTGGGTGAGCACATGGTATGTATTCCTCTAGGCTTACAGACTCATTAAAGGACCTGCTCTCTTTATCATATCTTCTACACTAAATCGGCCTGGAGTCTTTTCCTCTGTGGTCTTTTAAACCAGAAGCTAACCTGTGATACAAACTTCATGCTATGCTGCTCAGAAAATGGTGATATGCTGATTTGGGTTATAAAAATCCTGTTCCGGTAGCAAAATTTTATGCTATGCTGATCATAAAATTCTGTTTAAAAAAATAAAGCTTTAATTGTAACTACAACTTAGTGCCATCATCATTCTACCCAGGATCCCCATAGTGTTGGGTAACAAAACACCTTTTACAGAAAATCTCTTCTGGCCCAGCTGGGAATAAATCACTTAGAAGAAGCCCCATACAAATACCTGGTACTAGGTATTTGTATGTAGCTAGTTACATAAAAATAGATGTAGCCATTTTTTCAGGAAAGGAAGCAGATTTGTTCTGGTGTAAGTATATCAAATAGCTCATTCTCCAGTCTAATAAAAAGCAACAGGTGGCTCTTCAGCTCTGCTTCACCCCTACCTCTGTGGTAGGGGTCTGCTAACTAGAGTGGCCAACTGTCCAACCACAGAGAAAACAGAGTCTGACAAAGTCACAGAAAGTCCCTGAGACCAGCAGTACCAGCAAAGTGTGTGCTCAGGGGGCACTTGTTAATCTCCTTTTTTCCTCTACAATCACCGCAGCCTTCCCACATGCACCAGCCACTAACGTTAGTGCTGCAAAATCCAGAAAGTTTTGCACTGTAGCAAAGCATTGTAGGAGGGATGGGTATTTAGTTTGTTTCTTTATCCTGCAGAACAAGGAGAGCTTCTTGTTGGGGTTTGGAGTCTGTCACTGGGAGTGGTTAATATGAGGTGCGCACGATAGCTTATGCAAAGAAGGTTCCCCTAACCTGTCATTTCTTGTGTGGGTGTGTTTTGCCCTGGAGCAACCTTTAACTGCTTTTTTTAACAGAACTTTTTGGTGGGAATTGTTAGGAAAGTATTTCTCTAACTACCTGAGCCTTGCTGTGTTTTTTTGGCCCTACCTATACCGCAGCATAAAATATTCTGTACATTGGGAATTCTCAAGACTTGATAGTCATCTCAATGGCACCCAATTTAAAGAGAATTATTCCTGATTTACATTGGCATGAATAAGGGTTTTCCATATATAATGTAATATTTTGCCTCTCTCAGATGTAGACACAAAGGCCATTCTCAGACTCTTTCTTACAGAGGGTTAACTGCAGATGAATCAGATTAATTCATTTGCCAACAGCCATTACCTCCAAACTGCAGCATTGGAGAGGACCAAGAGAGTAAAGGAGAATATGCATTTGGCACTGCAGGGGTCCGGGTGGTACTGAGTGTTGTAGGAACTAATTAACCCTGAGACTCCTCAGGGTTAATATAGTTCAGATGAGAGACTTATATATGCATTAAAAAAAAAAGCGAGTTCTGCTGTTACGTGATTTGATTTACCATTTTTGATGAGAGCCACACCTTCAGGCTCCCTCACTTTTCTGACTCCCACAGCTGAAGGAAACGTTTTAGGACTTTTTTTGTTTGCAGCTCTTACTCTACCAGCATCTTTTCCAAAACTACAACACACTATAACTTTAGACCTTTCCCCTGTCCTACCACTATGGCAGAAAAGCCCAGCATTTAATAGACCAAGCCAGTCTGGAGCAGCTAGAAATACAAAGGATCATATGATTTCAGTTAGAATTTGCAAGGGGCTCAGACACAGAGAGGGGTATGAGAGAGATGAAGGAGAAAGGTTAATCTCTACGCTTCATTTCTACTGCATTAGGGGCGATGCAAAATAAAGATATTCTCACCTTGAATTCCTCCAAAGCAATTCTTTCATGTGGTTGCCTCAGTAGAATGAAATCTTTATGAAATAGCCAGCATACCCACCCAGACATAAGCCAGGCACTAACTGTTCATGTTTAAAAACAAACATTCCCCATGGGTACATTATTCATAGCCGGTCATTTGCCAGTTTTCCCTTGGAAGATATAAACTAAACATTAGGAATAAAGGCAATGCATAGTTTAGTCTCTTTATTTTTTTCTGAACTGGATGTTGCAGCAAACCTGTAGGTTCTCTGTCCTCTTTTCCACTGGCTTATTTATATAAGTCAGCTAATTCCATGGTGCATTCCCAAAGTCTTCCTGCTGATCCACTCAAAGGTTGCACCATGGTGTATAAGCATTTGGATCCTGCCACTTACAAGATTCAAATTCCAAATTCAACCAGCAGAAAAATATTCACAGCTTTCAAACATTATTCCAGGGAAAGAGGAAATCATCCTCCAGATCCATCCTGCCACTACTATGGGCATCTCTGTTGCCTGAGAAACATAACAGGTTGTTGTTATAACAACTAGAGACCAGCTGACCTCCCTCTTCCTTTTGTCAACCAGCTGCAAAACTCCTTGCTCATGTAACAGTCTCAAATTGAACATCTGACCCCAGTTTATGCAATTCCCCTGTGACCGTTTCGTAAGCTTTTTGTCACTTCACTTCACTCCACTCAATTGTTTGTTGAAAGCACTCTCAGTTACACTGGCTAATGTGAACGTTTCGGTCTAATAGAGAGCCCTGTGGCTAAGCCCTCCATCTCCAAGGCAACCTCACAACCTTGCTCTAAGAGTACGTCATGTCATGAGATAAAATGAAAACCAAAAGGATAAGCAGAGATAATTCCAGCTCTAACTATCCATAGTGCTATTGCTTTAGCAGAAACTTCAGGAGACATTCCCAGGCTGGTTATTTAAACGTGGGAGGGCACCACAAAGATAGCATTTGTCTCTAAAGCTATACAAGCCATACAGGGGCACGAAGAGCACACTGTGATGCTGCCAGGGAACCCAGGGATCTTAAACAGTTTGCGTAGTTATATTGGAACGATTGAGGGCAGCAAGACATGGTGTTTTCATGTGTCTGACAAATCACCTGGGTCTTACCTCTGTTCAGCTCCATTACTTGAAGCTACAGGTGTTGAAGCAGCTTCACTACTGTGGTCCTTGAGTTGGACCCACCACCACTCCTCTGTCTGCCCTTCACAGAGTTCAGCTGAGTCAGTGTTAGACTTGGGCTTTGCCAGAGAAGGAAAGATTCATTCTCCACTCCCTTGAGTGCCATTTCAAGGTGGTCTCTGCTGATAGCAGTGCAGCAGACCAAAAGTCTCACTAAAGAACATTGTGTAGGAATGTGACTAAAGTAGGTCATTGCTCAAATGGGCAGACTTCAGGGATAAAATGAATGAAGAAGTTCCAACCCCCTACAGTGGTCGTTTTCAATTGGTTTGCCCACACAGAAAGGCACAGATCATATCTGGTCCACCTTCTCATGCTCTCTCCTCACCACTGTGAGTCTTAAAAACCACTTTTTTTCCATGTGAAAGCTGAGTTATCAACCTTGTCTTAGGATCTGGAGCACAGTCATTCACAACCCATGTGCAACATCTCAGCGTGACCTTAAGTCTCTGAGAAAACCTTGTTGGTTTGTTGTTAGGTTGGGGGGGGGTTGCCCTACTCTAAATCCTTGCACCTCCTTTCTGTTACCATTTACTCCCTCAGAATGTTGCTATTCCACCTTCACACTTGTGAAGGTGCAGGTGCCATTGTCTTCAGGGGTAAAAAACACATAACTGGAAGAAGGAGAAAGGTTTAATTATCAACTAGAAGAAAGGGAAAAATATTGCAAATAACCTGTTGCCAAAGTGGTTTAACACTGCCACATTTAAACGGATTGTATCAGGAAAAAAACCCCAACCAGTTCTTATTTACATCTCAAGGATGTCAAGCAAGTTATTGAGTATCTCTGTACACGTGCAAAGTGTCGCTGGTCCAACAGAAATCAGCGGAAGACCAAACCTCCACTCCCTAAAATTGGCTGAAAATTCTCCACTGCTGGGAAACATTCAAATGCCAGTGCTCTTTCCACTCTCCTGCAACATCAACATAACCAAAACAACTCTTCTTTTTACCCAAAGAGCTGCCAAGAACAGGGAAATAGCACAATTAAAAAAAAAAAAAAAAGTCTGTGTTTCCAAAAGCAGTTTTGTACATCTTCTAAAACAAAAGGCTGTGCCCGAATGTGTGCAGCGATAACACTGACACAAATCATTTCATGTCCTGATTTTGCTACATAGAAAGCAGAAAACTCCTGTGCAGCTGCTGGAGCAGCAATCAAGCTGTTGCACAACTCAATATGCAGATCAGGCCTGAGGAAATTCTGCTGGGATCCTCTTTGTCCTCTGCTTTTCAAGTGTGATTGAAATCTGTTTTCTCAGATTAGGAAATTGGAGAGAGGTTTTATGTTACACTTCGGAATAATTTTGAACACTGCATGACAGTCATGTGTTCTCAGTGTTTGGAAATACTAGGTTTCAGCAACTCCTGCTTGGCTGCCTGGAGACTGTTTAAAGCTCACTGTCAAAGCTTTACTCCTCTACTATCTGACTTAGGTGGTTTATTGTCCTGAATCTGTTGACAGATTCACCTGATATTCAAGTTTGCTAAAAGCTGTATTTGTTTATTTGTTAAACACAAAGGCCTGAGCCAGGGCTGGTGTCCCTGCTCTTTCTGAGCTCCCTAAGGCTGGGCTCTGCTAACCTTGGACTCTGAAGTATTCACATCTCACAGCTGGGCTTATCTGGTTTCTAGCAAGGTGCAAGTTCCACCCAAAATTTTTTCCCTACTCAGGATGTTTATAATCACTCCTGGAGGCTCTTTCCCTCTGTCAAATCAGATCAACCAATTGACCAACAGATTAAAAAATTATTAAGGGTGGGGAGGAAGGACAGGCACACACGCACACCCACACACAAAGGCTGTGAGCACTCCGCCTTTGTGCTCATATGAGCTTTGTTTCCTTGGGAATCCAGCTACTAAAACAGGCAACAGCTGTGACAAGCAATGAAATCTAGCAGCAGAGCAGCATGACTGATGATTTGCAAACCTTTAGGTTTGGGAATTTGCAACACCCCTCCCTATCTTAAACACGTAAGAGGAACGTATCAGGATGCATGTATAGGAAAGCATGAATCCAGTGGGGCAAGCAGACTTTTTGTAGCTCATCATCGTAAGAATTGAAGTGCCATCAAGTGTGGGGAGATTCTTACAGCATGCATCCATCTCCCTCATGCTCAATCCTGTCATGTCTCCTGCAAACACTCACACGAAATCCCTGGCAGAGGAAAC